AGAAACAACATTATATCATGATTTATATATACCAAATACCTAATTAAAATCAATTAAGTTGTTTGCATATATTAACCAGACTTAGCATTCATATACCTACACAATGCTTGTATTCTCTCACTCCTGACGATTGCATTAGCATGAAACGGTCTGTAGGGTGACTATACCCAGTTAATTGAGTGATTGATTGGTGGATTGGTAAACTAGCTGAATTATGCGTTTTTAGCTAGATACATTTACACTTCAAAAGACCAGGAGACATATCCCCAGCCTAGCAGACATGTGCAACCTAGGAATGTTACTCCTGCAAGGTCCAAGTGTCAGCCCTAGTACCCGCAGCCTAGCTGAACCATCGGCGTAGAAACATTATTCAAATTCTAAGTGACCAACATATTTCAACATAGCAGACAATACTTCTTGATGTAAAAACATTGCTAAGGTTTAAGAGACCTATATACTTTCAACTAATAGCCACCATTATCAATTTCAAACTTGAGGTACAATGTGTAAGAAAATAATATTACAGTGTATAACCTTTATTTTTGTCATTTATCCCTTCTTAGGGGTGGTTGGAAGAGACAGAGTTGTACATGGGATACTACACAAACCAAACAATAAGTGATAAATACGACATGTCATTAGCGTATCTTTTGACGAGTGCCAGTTACTTCGCGGTGATCCTTATTGTCCTTGCGCAGGGGTACGTACTTCACAGCTTATTTTAGAAAATTTATTTCATTCTCAAGAATTTCATTTTCAGCATTGAAAGTCAAATAAAGTCAGCCTGCTGTGTAGCACATTTACAGTATCCAAATGAGATAAGTATACACACAGCACAAATGTACTCCACTGTATTAATGAGAGGCACTGTGCTTATTGGTCAGTTGTTAAGTTTGATTAACATTCTGGAATGTTCCATTATAAGGATAGGGATAAATAAGTACCAAAAAAAAAAACAAAAAAAAAAAACCCACTTACATCCTTGTTGGAGAAAAATTTATAATTAAAGGTTAATGTACAGGCACACTTCCCAAACTGTGTGTCGCGACCCAAAAGTGGGTTGCCAAACTTTTGCGTTGGGTCATGAGCAGGTTTGCTAAAAAAAAGCAGATTGTAAGAGCTTTAACAGATCTGGCTACCTGAGAACTAAATTATTTTAGGGGAATTTTCATTAGAAAAATATTTTATTTATATGTCCACAATGAATATTTTATATCTTACCACAACATAATTGCGTAAATCTAAACATTAACAAGTATTGACATGGACTTAAAATAAAAACGCTGTTATGTGACCTAGTAGCATTTTTCCCAATAAATTTCAAATGGGTCCTACAGCTGTATATTAAAAATCTCAATTTCCCACTTTGGCGAAAAAGGACGATAATCAGTGATTGATTCAAATTTAAGTCTAAGCGTGCCCCCTGGCCTCTCTTTATTATGAATTCCTAGATCCGTCACTGATAAAAAGTGAATAAAGATCAATGTTATATCCATGTTGAGTAGGCCTAGTCATTATGATTCTTCAGTAAAATTTCAAGGATCTTAAACAACTTGGTGTACATATTTACTCTCAAATTATTAGGTGGGTTGTGGCTGCTTTGGAAAATCAAAACTTGGGTCCTAGAGATATGATTATATTAAATACAGTTTTCAAAACCATTTTCTTTCTAAAGAATGTCTGCAGCCTATCGATCCTATTTCACGATAGGAGATAGGAAGTACAATTATTACACTACCAAGGTGTTATGCGGCTGGGACTACAATCTCGTGTCGGCGAGCTCAGCACAACTTAAGCACAAGAGTATCTTCTTAGAACTGGGGGTAAGTGAAAAATTTAGGCTTAGCTTTATTTTTAATAATGGCTGTCCAATTACACAAGCTTTTGCCATGTTATAATTGTACATAGAGCCCTGTCTAGACTATGAGAATTTATTTTACATAACTTGCTATAATGTAGTCATGATGACATCACATCATTAACATATATAGGCACATTATGACCATATATGGACATACAACAGCTTTTTGTGGTCATGATGACATCACATCATGACCATATATAGCCATATCAGGACTATATATGGACATGCAACAGTTTTTTGTTGTCAAAGAAAATGGGATAGTTTGGAGAGTGCTTTAGATAGCAAGTTTGTTTCATATCATCTATTTCCATTTTGAAAAACAGAGCATCATTGTCACAAACAGGCTGGTATAAGCTCTTAACTTAGCTTAGCTGAGTCGGCTAATCTGGTGGTAGCCACTGTGTGTGCGCTGAACCGTGGAGATCTCTATTATGGCCCATGCGCACGTTAAAGAACGCAGTACACTCTTCGGAAAAGAGTAGGGGATTGTCTCCCGGTGTACTGCCCAATCACCACCAGAAGGACCCCACTGGAAATAAATCTTCTTCTAGACTTTCGTGGGCTATCCTAGGTGTTTACACCGAATAAATCCAATCCAATCATACATGGTTATTATACAAGTAATGAATGTTTATGAGTGCAATGGGGTAGAATATTTCATGAGGTGAAAGATCAGATGTCCTATTCAAACTAGGCGTAGCTGAGATGAAAATGCTAAGTTGCACAGCATAGGATCTGAAATGTAAAAAAAAAACAAAAATGAATAAAATAGTCAATAATTAATAGTATAAATCACATGATTGTAAATTAATGGAGAAATTCCTTCATCAGTGATAAATGCATGGCTCGAACAAGAAAATTATATTGTAAATGAAGCCTAGAAATAAAATTATGTTTACAAACATCATTTTTTTTCCCCCATTTTTTCAAAATCTAGGAACAGTTGACCGTACATCATAAAAAAAAGAAGAGGTCATTCGGAAATAAATGTGGATTATTCTGTCTACGCTTGGCTATAAACATTTTAGTGCTTGCACTTATAGGCAGTGCTTGCTTTCTTATCTATTATATCTATGAAGATGATGTTCTTGGACAGGTCAGTGTTTATATTTAATAATAAAGGGCTGTAGGTTGATAGTTCATAACTTTTTTTTATTATTATATGTAAAGGGCGGAAGCGGTTTGGCACAGCGGGAACGGTTTGGTTTCTCAACCTGGAGCTCGGAGTTTCCAATCCCTTGCTGTGCACTTCGCTTGTGTCCTCGAGCCAGGCACTTTGCTTCCTCTACCCAGGAGTATAAATGGGTACCTGGTGGGGTTGCCTGCTACACTGTGCCAAAATGGCAGCCTTGCTTAAGCATGTGAACCCAATAACCAGGGGAAAAAAAAGCGCTTCGAACCTAAAGGAAGAGGCACTATAGATAAATACCAAAAATCAAAAAACAAAATAACAAATATAGGTAAAAATATAAGAATATTCGAAATATTGCAGGGTCATTGAACTTGATTTGCATATGGGAAGGTCAGTAGGAAAAATGGTATCATTATGCATAGGTACCGCCATATTAGTCCTCTGCTAAAAACACTTTATTGGCTACCTGTCAGGCAACACATTTTCTTTAAAATTCTCAGTTTAACGTTTATTATTATTATATTATTCTTCGACAATATCTTGTTGAGTGGAGTGGAATGGCTAAGTGGTTGAGATGCTTGCCTTCTAATCCCAGGGTCCTGGGTTGAATTCCTGAGACAGCAGGACTTTTTACCACGACTAAAATCAACTCCACTCCCTAAGCCTCATAAAGAGACTTCACTGATAAAAACATCACATTGTTTAATTTATTAATAAAGAGGGCCCCTGAATATCAGCTGACCTTCTAGGATACGCTGGAAAGGTCACCCTCTATAAATATTGTAAAAAAAAAAAACTTGTCCCTTGCTATGCTCCTTCCCGTCGTCTCCGTTCATTGCTTACTGTCCCAAAATTGCGAACAAAGACATACGGCCAATGCACCTTTTCTTTCTCTGCCTCTTCCCTTACTTGGTTAAAGATTTGACTACTTTAGATTCCTTTAAAGTAAATTTAAAAACATAAAAAACAGTGCCTTTGATCATTTTTGAAATTGACACATTGTAAATTTTTGATTATTATTATTATTATTATTTGGATTATTATTATTATTATTATTATTATTATTATTATTGTTATTTTTATTATTATTATTGTTGTTATTAATATTATTATTATTATTATTATTATTATTATTATTATTATTATTATTATTATTACTACTGTGTCTATGCCCGCTCAGGGGCAAATACACTATGTTATGATCTGGCAGTTAAAGATCGCGGAAAGGGTAAATCTGGTGGAGGTGCATGATGGGTCATGTGTCATTTCAAGTACTTTATTACCGTGCAAAAATTTAAAAAAATGCACTTTTCCTGATAACCAAAATCCATGTGGACACTTTATTAGTAAATATAATACAGTAGGGCAGTATAGGACATACACTCCCACTGGGATCCTATTTTTATTATTATTATTATTGTTATTAAATTTGCAGATGGATAGCAACAACGAACCATCATTGATAACAAAATTAGCAGTGCCTTTGCTGATCAGCGGGTTCAACCTGATTCTTCCATATATGTTTAGCGTGCTTGGCTCACTTGAAGGTTACAGAAGTCCGAGAATACAACTGTACATTGCTTTAGGCAGGTGAGTTCCCTTAGCTGGGCACTCGCTACATTGTACGACGGTCGTGCGGATGTTATAGTGTGGACAGAGCTTTAAGCCAGGCACATATGCTTCGCCACTGAGGCCTAGTTCAGACTAGGTGGATTAACCCGGCTCAACTCACCGGGTTTATCCATCTGCCAGTCTGAACTAGGTGGCTTATCTCAAGCCGGGCTGTGTTCCTATAGTAACTAGGCCTGGCGCGCCACCATGTTTAACTTTTCTAAGCTGGGCTTTAATCGTTGCGGGGGGTCTTGCATTGACTTCGGGTGACGAAATGACCAATCAACATTCAATTACGTACGCTGTGAGCGAGCGTACGTTTCGCGAGCAATGTTTTGAAACACGTTTCCTGGTTACGGTTCATTACTATGCAAATTCTCGCCTGGCTAAACCCGCTAATCTGAACGCTAGTGCAAAGTTAAGCCGGGCTTAACGTTGAGCCGGGCGTAACTCAAGCCTGGCTTATCTTCAAGTCTGAACGTAGCCTAAGAATTGTACTGTACAACTGTCAACCACTCTGTGAATGCTCGACAGTGCAATTCCATCTGCTAATTTTCAATGACAAACTGAGCAGATTGTCACTAAAAATGATCTGCTACCTACACCTCCCTGCATTGCCTTCTCCATAGAATGACATCGGCCGATTACCATCAGCGCCATGTGTGCTTGGCTTAACATGTGCTAACAAATTTAGACAACTATGTCCCCTTCGTTCATCTGCCAAAGCATGTAGGCAGGTTTTTTTCCTTTTACAGTATCTGCCAACTTATATAGTAATGTGTGCCCCAATGAACCTATGCATTTAGGCCAGTATATATCATTCATCTATAAAAGGAAGTATGTACACAGGATAGATTTATTCGGTGCAAACACCCAGGTTTAACTCATGAATGTCTGAAGATTTATTGCCAGTGGGGTACTTCTGGTGGTGATTGTGCAGCACAGCAGGGGACAATGCCTTACTCTTTATGAGTGTCTACATTATTTAACGTGCAAATGTGCCATATATTTATTTTTGTTCTTAAACTTTTTTTTTCTCTTTTTGTTAACTGCATGAATCAGAGTAGGATCTAACACTTTTACGATTTTTACATTGAGTTTGACACTCAGCGCTATGAATCCGCTGGAAATAGAGCGGTATAAATGTTTATAGATATAAATAGATATAATTAACATGGGACCAACGGCTTAAACGCCTAATTTGGAAGATGGTACGCTATCATAACTTGCATTCCACCCCTTCCCCCTCCCCCAGCTGAAATACAAGGAGAGGATGGGAATTGAACTGGGACCATGAGATCTCAAAGGCTCAGCGCACACACCAGTTTAGCCGACTGATCTAAGCTGCTTTCTCTACCTTCGTCTACCAAATAATTTAGGCAATCTAAATCCATTTCATCTTTTAGTAGAATGATTAATACTTAAGAATAAAGAATGAGTGTAAATATATTTAATTTGTTTTTTTGCAGGACTGTACTAATGAAGGTGGCTGTACTGGTAACTTTATTTTACTACTTGGTGACATTGGTAGAGAATGACAAGCAAAATATTGATGTAAGTTAATGGACCCCTCCTTGTTATCTCTGTTATTATTGGTAAAAATTATATTATAACACAATCTATTTGGCATGATTATTATTGATGGTTTCATTTTGAATGCCCAACCGCAATGAGGATTTATGTCAATTTTTTTCCATGTGATTATTTTTTTTTAAATGAATATTAATGCAGAATAGGGTGAATCAACATGCCAGTGACGTATCTAGGGGGTGTACAAGGGGACTTCAACAAAAATACTCCCCCTCTCTCTAAAAAAAAAAGAAAATTGCGCTCAAGTAGTTAAAAATCATATTATTTTGCAAGCCCTTTTCTGATCATTGAGGCACCCCCCTCACTTCACTTTCCCACCACATCACCCCCTGCCCCCATTTTTCGAGGCTCTTAGATAAGCCACTGCAACACCCCAACCTTTTATAAACCATCATTCATTGTGTGAAATAAATAGACCAGTGGGTATCTACATTGCTGCTGTACCAATGTCAATAAGAGTTCAACCCCAGGACCTGATTTGTAGTTGACATGAAAATTGTATATGAACATAATTCAATCCTTTAAATGAACATTTCTGCTAAGCCCTACTGCTTGAATTTTTTTGCTAAGATAACACAAGAAGAGGTAGAGTGTAAAAACATACACAAACATATGCCTTTGTGGAACAAGACATGTGCTTGTGAGCCAAACATATTCCTGTCTCTGTTGTCATAGGTCAGTTGTTAAATGTGATTGACATTCCAGAAATGTCCATTTGTGATTTTTGCTGTGATTTGTTCTAAGTAAAACACATAAAATATTTTCTTTTTTATCTTTAGTGCTGGGAGACGTTTCTTGGTGCAGAGATTTATAAACTGGTAATCATTGACTTCATTGTGCAGGCGCTGTCTACGTTCTTCCTCGAATTTGTTAGAAAGTAAGTATTTGAATTTTAAACATCAAATCAAGTACGCCAATAGGTATTAGATTATTAAGACACAATAAATGAAGCTTCGAGAATCATTAAATTACATTGAAGCTGATAGTATTTCCATAGAGAAAATAAAAAATCTCTATGGTATTTCCAACTCTTATTACTTTACATTTTATTGTTGTGAGACCAGTTTTAAAACTTAGTTTCAATAACCTCTTATAACTGTATATGATTATTATTTAAATAATTTCAATTGTGTTGATGATAATGATGGTGTTAATAATGGTGGAAGTGATGATGATGGTGATAATATTGATGATAAGAATTGCCATTCCAAAACCTGTTTACTGTCATTAAATGTTGAATTGAGTAATTACCATAATAAAGTGGCAGTATTGTATATTTTATTACAGAGGAGCCATAATACTTTTGTGTATAAGTTTGCCAGAAGTAAGTCGATTCCAGAAAATGACCCATCATATTTTAAAACTTACAATGTGGAGAATAAGAGTATATTGTATTAAAGTCAATTTTCATTTCTTGGTCACTGGCGCTGGTTTTGGAATGACAAGCCTCAATAATGGTGTTGATGATGATGGCAGTGTAGATGATGATAATGGGGATGGTGATGGTGACGGAATTAATGATGATAAACTGCTGTTGAGGTTGGTGGGGATGATGGTGGTATGGTAATGGTGGTGATAATGCTGCCGGTAGTAATGCTGGTAATAATGAAGTGGTTTTTAAAGATAGATTGTTAAGAGGCTGTGAGGAAGTGCTTCAGTAGCTCATAATTTCTGTGCTTATAATAATATTGCTACTCTGCCCCTCAAGTACATTTGACTACTTGATATAAGCATGGAGGAAATAAAACAACAGGAGTAACATCGTTCAAACATAAAAGGTTGTTTTATTTCCTCCATGATATAAGGCATGACTTTTTTTATACCTTATTTCGCAAACATATTTATTTAAAGTTCGTCAGAGGAGGGCGGAAGAAAATAAAAATAAAATTTGTTTTCTTATTTAGCAAATGGTTTTGCTAGAAACATCCAGACAGGGGAGAAAATAAAAATATAATTTTATTGTTGAATGTAAACAGTGTAGTAATAGGATCTTTAAATTTATATAAATAGGAAGAAATATTTAAATCTTATGTTTGGAGATTTCAAGGCAGCAGTGGGCATAATAAAAATAAAGAAAAACTTTTTTTCTGAAATTTCCATTTTTTCGCGGCGGCGGTTGTGCTAATTGGCCAAAAATTAATCGATTTTAATCGAAATCATCATTATTGGTCGGTGACTGGTATAAAAAAAAGTCTCACATAACCATGGATCTATACCTCCATGATAAAACTATTTAAACTGTTAAAATATTGTTAGTATGTTGATATTTTTTCTTATCGACCAAAATGTAAGCAGCAACGAATGAATTGTGTTTTTTGTCTTGTCCACAATGGCTTACCCTGGATGAGGTGTTTCATATCAACAGACATTTTGCAGTTATTTTTCAATAATAAGGTATACAGAATTACAATGCATCGTGACATTGTTGTGAGGTATATTAGTGCACATACTATAACGTATAGGTTAACTATGGTCCAAAGTTGTTCCGTGGGGAAAATTCCCCTTTTGCGCCATCACTGCATGGGTCAGTGGTCACCGTCAGTGAGCTGTGAACCATTTGGTTAGCTCTATTGACTTTCATAAGTGAAGTGTGCACAGAATGTATTTTTGCCTCTTTCACATTTTACTCACCTGTTGGGGTACACAATGTTGTGGTATTATTGTTATAAGGTTCAATTGGTAAAACAAATCTTGGATAAGGACTTAAAAAGGAGATCCAGTGTACACATATGGCTTGTTGCACTTCAAAGAACCCATTGCATCTTTCGGAAGAGTGGGTGCCTGGAGTGGGGGGGGGGCCTTACCCCGATGCTATAGTTCATCTCAGCCCCTGTTGTTGTGGAATTACTTTATTTGGTAGCCAGCAAGTTGAAAGATTGTGTGTTGGTATTTAAATCTTTACTGCTATTTATAATCCTCTCCAGTCTGATATGTTCTTGTATGCTTATAATTGTAGCCAAATATTTCCAGCACAATAATTTTTATTTTTGCAATGGAGAATGAACATTTTTACTTTCATACCTTTTTACATTTGTTACATTATTTATATATATTTATATTTTTATTGTTTGCCTGTTCTTTTTTTGTAATTTTGAATATCTATTTCTGTCTTTTTTGTGTGTGTTATTTATTGGTTATAAGGACCTCATGGAAAATGTCGTCGGCTTAATGGGTAATCCTGGTGCTCTTTTGTCTTTGTTTCTCATGTATTGTTATCTCGAGCACCTAATAAATTCAAATCAAATCAAATCAAATATTATTGATATACCATAAAACCTCGAATAGAAGCCCCATGTGTTTAATCTTGAGAAGAAGCCCATCTAAAAAATAGGCCTCCGCTTCAGTATTCAAAATTAATCTCGAAAAGATGCCAATGGCCTTCTAATCAAGATGGGCTTCTTTAGGGATAGTACTTACATTCAGGCTATCGTTATCTTTGATGATTACGATAGCGTGTCGGTATCAATAGATTATCATTCATGGATTTTATTCAATATAATATTCAATATAAAAAATTCAAGCAAAAATGTTAAAATTAAGATTACATCATAAAAACTACAAAATTACCATAAAAAAAAAAATAAATGAGTAAGTGAATAAATAAATAACTGAGGAACAGAAGGCAGTATAATGTATTGTAGACGAATCTAAATTGCACATTATTTACATTGCCCTGGTGGGAGACATTAAAACAGTACATTAAAAAGCGAAAATACACGATTATCTCGAAAAGAAGCCCACCCAAGGGTCCTACAAAAAAAAAATATATAAGATTTTAGGGTACACTCTGTTTGTTTAATATAAAAATCAATGCCATAGTTATTGATTGTATTTATTTAATATTAGAAAAGCATTGTTATCATTGCTACAATAGTGTTTGTTTTTCGGTGTATGAATATATAGCTATTGTTGTTGTTTATTATATTATTGTTTTTATTATTACCAATATATTTTTATCATCATTCGTTTGATGCATGTCATCCCAAAAACCAGCGAGCTGTTGCTAAATATTTAACTAACTAATTTGTATGATTGTGGCAGTATTGTATACTTTAATGCAGAGAAGCCCTAATACTTTTACTCATAAGTTTGGCAATAGCAAGCCAATTCCAGTAAAAGGCCAATCATTTTAAAGCTTATAATGTTTAGAATAAGAATATAATTAAAAAGTCAATTTTCAATTTTGTCATTGATGCTGGTTTTGAGATGTCAAGCCTTGTTTGTCACCCCATTAATATTGTCATTATTATCCTTACAATTTTTGACAACTTCATCATCATCATCATAATCTTATCTTTATCTTTTTTCAACTTTATGTTATATAACTTTATGTTAACGAATTATGAATTCCATCTTTCTCTACTTACTGTAGGATAGGTAAAGATTATTTTTGCAGAAATTTTGCTGCTCCAGAGTTTGATATTGCTCGTAATACACTTGAGCTGATCCAGGCCCAGACATTTACATGGTGGGTTCTATCACATGACTTGCTATTATACTAATTGATTGGCTATCATTTATACTATATTCAGTTTAGTATTAACATTGGGTGGCTGACATAGATTTTCTCAATGTGGGTGTAAACTAATCAAGATGTTTACATATCTAAAAAGCTGAAAACCAAACAATCTGAATGTAAGCCAATCAGAATATTTGCATTTCTAACAATTTGAATGTAAGCCAATCAGAGTCTTTACATTTCTAACAATTTGAATGTATTGTAAGCCACTCAGCATATTTACATTTCTAACAATTTGATTGTAAGCCAATCAGAATCTTTACATTTCTAATAATTTGAATGTAAGCCAATCAGATAATTTACATTTCTAACAAATTGAATGTAAGCCAATCAGAAAATAAATGTACATTCCTAACAATCTGAATGTAATCCAACCAGAATGTTTACATTTCTGATCATTTAAATGTAAGCCAATCAGAATATTTACATTTATAATAATTTGAATGTATTGTAAGCCAATCAGATTATTTACATTTCTAACACCTTTTTAACTTCAGCCAATCAGAATCTTTACATTTCTAACAATTTTAATGTAATCCAACCAGAATGTTTACAATTCAGATAATTTGAATGTAAGCCAATCAGAATTTTTACATTTCTAACATTTTGAATAATGTAAACCATTCATAATTTAATTCCTAACAATTCCTATTTTGTTTTGTTCCAGGATTGGGATGTACTATGCACCACTTCTTATGATAATTTGTATTTTTAAGCTCTTTGTACTATTTTATGTAAAAAAGGTAAGTTTTATGAGACAAATTTTACAGAACTGCAGACTTTTTTTATACAATTGAAAATGTTGTAATGACAGAAATACTTTTCTGTGGCAACTAAGATTATGATACTTATTTTTGTTTTATTTAGAGACCAAAGCCGCTAAACACCATAAAAAGCCTGGTCCCAGTTGGAAACCTGCATCTTTTGTTAAAGAAAAAAAAAACTCTTCAACAATTGCATTTTTTGAAACTGGTGAATTTTTTTATCCTTGTAATGTTTTTGTTTGATCTAGAAATATCAAGAAAAATGTTAATCTTTATTACCAACAGAATATGTCAGCATCACAAAGTTATAAGGGCAGGCCTTACAGTGGTGTAGGCAGCTAAGCCAAAACCAAATTCAAGCCCTGGAAAGAAATCTACTCGCACCTAAGGCTGAAACATTGCATGGGCTACCTATATGCACTTGGTATCTAAGTGTAAGCCTTGCCCAATTCACTGTGCAGCCAATTTTTCCCCAGTGATAATGCTATGGGGCGCTTAATCATGCTTGGTGACAATTAACTTTCTTTATAATTCTAGTTGAGTGTATTATACAATTGTAAGCCGTCATTGAAGCCATGGAGACTTGGGCGTACAAGGACTGCCTTCATGTTCGTTCTTCTATCAATGTATCTAGTGTGTTTAGCTTGTGTCAGCTATATGTGTATATTTAAAATAGGTATGAACTTCTACTTTATTTTGTATATACATTTTATTATGAGCCAATGGCAAAACCACGTTTAGTGTAAGGAATAAGATTAGTTTGTCTATACGATTAGATTAAGTATTTATTATATTTATTTTAATATTTTATTATAGAAGCTTTCCAATAATATGTTGACATTTTCTTTCAAATGTTTTCAATTCATAGGATACCTCCATCAGCAGACTGCAGCCCATTCCGTGGCAAGGAGAGTACCTTCAAAGTAGTGAGTGGCAAGTTAGAAAGCGCTGCTGCCTTTACAACAATTATTGACATCATCACAGCCCCTGGAGTTGTTGCTGCCGGAATAACTCTTCTGTCGTAAGTAACAGTAACCTATTTTTTCCAAACAATCTCAACACAAACTTTGCAACACACAAGATCTCAGATTGGACTTTCTTAGTCAAACAGTGCAGCCTAGCTCAGTCGCCTAAACTAGTAGCAACTACTGTGTTTGCACTGAACCATGGAAGTCTCTAGGTCCCTGGTTCAATTCCCATTTCTTCTTTTCTTGTGTTTTAACTAGAGGGCTGAAATGCAAGTTACGATAGCGCACCCTGTTTCGGATGAGAAATGTAAGTCGTTGGTCCCCTGTGCGTTTGGCCCATGTGCGTGTTAAAGAACACATTATACTCTTCGGAAAGGAGTAAGAGATTGTCTTCTGGTGTGCTGGCCAATCACCACCGGAAGAACCCCGCTGGAAACAAGTTTTCAGATTTTCGTGGGTTATCCTTGGTGTTTACACCAAATAAATCCATCCATCCATGCTCCTGGTAAGTTTGATTAAACAAAATTCAGTGAAATAGATTGTGTAACTACTTCCTATGTAAAAATGCCCAAGAAAAAGTTTTACCAGTTGAATAGACCCATTCCGCTAGGTTGGTGATGTGACATATAGTTGGTGTAAATTGTAAACAGGTAGTATGAGTGATCTGGGTAATAGGAAAATATGCGGCTTCTATAGCGTGTTTCTGCTGTAATGCACGTAGTTGATATTGAGCACGATGGCGTATGTATTATACTTTCATATTGAGTAATGTTGCTTGGAATGCAGAAATTGAACTAGTTTTGCCATAATGTTTTGCTAGGGCTTTAAAAGACACTGGCCCCCAAACATTGCTAGGTCAAAAAACTGCATATCTACAGCCTGTTTTTGACACGCAATGATTTCTAGCCTAGCAAAGGTTTAAGAAGGATCACAAATTCCAAAGCATACAAAGCATTTCATTTCATTTCATTTATTTCGTCTCATTAAAATACATAAAAAACAACAACCGGTTACAATACAACAAAGTAAAAGCATAAAATATCTGAAACCAAACCAAATCACTATCATGTAGGTCTCCTAATGCACTATTCCGATTACACATAAATAATAAAATGAACAATTGAAATAATACCGTACTTAAAATCTGTAAAATTTGCCTTAACAATAAATATATATATATATAGAAATTGTAAAACTTATTGAAAATATAATTTAAGATCGTTTAAAAATGCTTTAAGATTCAAGACTAATAAATCCCTAGTTTTTACAGGTAGTTTTTCCCAAGCACAGAGAACTCTAGACTAAACACTATTTTGAACAATTGTAGCTCCTTCCCTTGCCAGTTATTTCTCGCGTTAATGGTGAACATAATGGTGAACATTCGTTTTCGCAACCATAACATAACATTTTCCTATACTTTCACACGGATCGCACTGTAAATTCTCCATACCCACTATACGTCACGTGACCGGCTCTAAACAAACGTCGCCGAGTGGGTCTATTGTGGCCAGGAAAAATAACCAGGCTGTTTTTTCCGAGTAAGAAAAGTGGAGCAGCATAATTGTGTATAATTAAAATTGCTATCACATTTTGTGTCTCTTCACTCAAGTGTGTGCTATGATTATACATTTGAATAGCAATTTACATATAAAAAAAAAGCACATAATTCAAGATTATTTTATTGTTCAAAATACGGAAACTCTGTTTGGGTGTAATTATTTCAATGCATACAGATACAAAAATATTATACAAACATTGAAACTATGACAAGAAAAGCAAAAAGTAACCAATATAAATATGGAAAAAAAGGTATGACCAAGATTAAAAATGCTATTCCAGTGTGTAATATGACTCATGTCTTTTATGTAGGTTAATGGTATATTACTACAGAGCTGTGTTACAAGGCAGGAAAGAGATGGTCAGACAACTTAAGCAGCAAATTATACTAGTAAGTATTATCAAAGAGTATAAATAGAACAAGAGAGCCAACTATGCTCATTCACAGCGTAAAACAAATGATATGCAATATGTAGCCAGTGTTAGATGCCCGCTGCCGTTTGTATGCTCTTTATTACCCAGTACTGCATGATGGTATGATAAAGAAAAATTAGGGAAATCTCTGCCCTCTATCTTGTATCTGTGTGTACTTGTCAAAGAAATAAAAGTAATTATATTTATCATTAAGTATTAATGACATGTTTAATTTATCATATTTGTTTATAGGAGGGAAAAGACAAACGCTTTTTACTACAGATGTACCATAATGCCACAATGAAACAACAAGGAAAACAAGGCAAGCAGGAGGGCGCCAATAGAAAAGGTCACCGCTCAAAAAAGAGAAAAGCCATTGGTGTCAAAGGTCAAATTGACCGACAATGAATGTAAGATTCAATTGGACACTACCTAAGTATCACCTTTTTCAGTATCTGAATGCATTTCTAAAGTGGCTTTCAGTATTTTTTCACCATAGAATTAATATATTTTTAAATGACTAATGAGAATATGTTATTATTAGGACCAGGAATATATATATACATGAACACAACAAACATGCAAGTTTACATTATGTTTATGCTGTCATTTTGTGGGACCATAGCAACAAAAACCTTCTTGCTGCATTGGCTCTCAAACTGTGGTCACTACCCAAAATTGGGTCACCAAATAATTTAGAGGATTGCAAGATTGTTTAGGATTTAAAAATTTAATTTTTTTTTTATCATGCTGAAATTGTCTGCAGTAAAGAGAGCAAATTCTAAGTATCATTTAAACATTTTACTTCAATTTTTTACCATATTTAAGTATCTGGTATTTTAAACGCACCGGGAATTGAATCGCGGCAAATTGCCTTCTGGACAATTGTTTTCTCAACAATTTTATTAAAGTATCTGTTATTTTAACGCACCGGAAAGTGTTTCACGGCAAATTCTTGACAATTGTTTTCTCACTTACATGGGGCAGCTACGCAGTGTAATGATTGCTGTGAAACACTGTAGCAACAATGTAGCGATTTTATGGAAACTCGGTTTTATAAATATCCTTTACATTTATTTTGAGTTATAATAATTTATGGGAATTGCAATGTTTAATACATATTTTCTTTTTGCATTCCAATTTTCTACAAGTACTGTCACTGTATCTTTCATTTGAGTTTTTTTTTTCTTTACATTGTCTTTTTTTCTGTATTAAACAAGGCCACAGATATGTATATATTTCAGTATTATTTTGAGGTGGTTTAGAGTTTATCTTTGTATATACAGTAAGGTCTCTCTCTAATGAAAGACCCCTCCAATTAAAGACCACTTTTCTGTGGTCCCAAATTAACAAATGTCTTTCATTTTTATTATCCTAATGAGAGACCAAAGCTGCTAAAAACTATTAAAACCTCTGTCCCAAAAGTGGTCTTTAATTAGAGGGAGAACTTTATTTCTGATTCATTGCAATAATTCTGACATATTAGACTGTTATTGTCTTAATATTTTTGTAATCAATTTCTTGTAATGTTCTTTAAATATAAATTGTATATAATTATGTTAAATGTGTTAAAAATTCTATGCAGTAATTGAATGTGCATTAATCACAATAGTTCAAGGTGTTTATATTAATAATTATTTAATATTATTGACAAAGTTTCTTTTTTGTTGATCCAGTAAAGAAATGGCTATATACATACTTGTACTAATTTTTGCAAATGATTTGCTTTCTCATATCTCCTTTCTGTGAGGGGTTGACCACACGATACCATCTGACGATTGTCCGTGGCGGTCTTGGCGGATTATCGTTAAAAGCAGTCTGTTGCACAGGCGTTCCCCCTCCCCTTATCTCACTCCGCTCATCCCCCTCCCATTGAATGTATTCAAAGCAAAAAATTCTCACTCATGTCTAGATAAAAATCAAATATCACCTTATTTTGTGAGCTTATTTTGCCACTTAAACATCAAGCCCCTCTTCAACTTCACACCCCTCTTCATCACCCCCTCCCCATCAGCCCCCAACCCCCCTGAAATTCAAGATTTCTAGATACGCCACTGAACTTAGAATACAAATATGAAAAGCATCTACCTATAAAGTAAAAGTAGTTGTTTCTTATATTAGATCAATAAAAACGAATTTTTAATGTGCTAGTAGGCATGCTAGTCTGGGTGTAGGTGAACTTATTTTAAGATTATAAATTTACTACTGTATTTCTCTGTCTTTCATAATGGTTAGATTATATGGCAATGTTATAACATTGTTCACTGCCTTTAATTAAATCACAACTTGAAATCCAGGATTTTTTTATACTGTATAATAATACTAAGGCGAGGCTCTTTTTTATACCTTGTTTACCCCACCAATAATGACGATTTCGAATAAAAATTAAAATTTCGTTTCCAGACAACTATAGCTCACTGCTGCCACGAAAAAATAGAATTTTCAGAAAAAAGCTAAAATTTTGCTTTATTTTTATTACCCCTAACTGCTGCCTAGAAATCTCCAAAAATATGATATGGATACAGTTAAACTTTCCTAAGTTGACTTCGCCTAACTAGAATAATTTTTAAGTCGATCTTATTTTACATGCCAAATTGTTGTGTTTTCCATTAATTAACGACCTGTAAGTCATGTATTATCTAAGTCGAACAATTATTCTATCAAGGAAAATTTATTGTTGACAATACAATGCGATACAGTCAAACATTGTGTCCAGTTCAACTTAAGCAAGTCCAACTGTATTTCTTCTTGATTATATAAGTCATGTATTATCTAAGTCGAACAATTATTCTATCAAGGAAAATTTATTGTCGACAATACAATGCGATACAGTCAAACATTGTGTCCAGTTCGACTTAAGCAAGTTCAACTGTATTTCTTCTTGATTATATAAATTTAAAGCATTTTTAACCCATGCCATTACTAAACTGTTTACATTCACCAATAAAATTATATTTTTATTTTCTCCTCCGTCTGGATGTTTTTGGCAAAACTGTTTGCTGACAAAGTTGTTTTTAATGTTTTTTCCGCCGCCCCCCCCCCCCCTCTGATGATTAAAAAAAAAAATATGTTCATGAAACAAGGTATAAAAAAGTCTCGCCAAATCTGGGTGTAGGTGAATTTATTTTGAGATTGTAAACATACTACTGTATTTCTAAGTCTTTCATAATTGGTAATTCATATGGCAATGTTATAGTGTTGTTCACTGCCTTTAAATCAAACGGGAAATCCAGGAAGTTTTATTACTGTATAATTATACTAACAAACAACAGCTAAATGTACAGAATTTTTATAGATTTTTTCATGATTGATATAGAAAAATTATGATTTAACATTTTAAAATGTGCCTTAAATTACAAAAAGTATCCAATACTACAAACAACAATAATTATACTAAATACAGTACAGTTGTTATAGAAATCTTTCATAAAGTGTGTATGACAAAGTCGTGACTTACTCACTCTGACTTAGATCAAAAATTGGAATCCAATATATTTATATAATAATGATACTAGAAAACACCAAAAACAATACATTTACGTCTTTCATGAAGTATATAGCAACACCAAAAACAATACATTTACGTCTTTCATGAAGTATATAGCAAATTATGTTATAAACACTTTTGACTGTGCCTTATAACTTAAATCCTATATGTATGTACAGTATAATAATTCTACAAAACACCAGTTTATATCT